TAAAGTAGATGTGTCCCATCCTTGAATGTGACATTGGATTTATCCCATCCCTGTCATTGCCTTTCGGATGTTTTTTTTTAATTATCCAAGATATTGTTTTAGCCAGTGTCGAAACTCCGTGAAATTTTATGGCATTGATTGTCAATTTCATTCAAATATACTTACATGTGTTTATTGTCTTGGACGATACGGCTAAAGAAAGCAAAATCATCGCAAACAGAAGTGGACGAATATATATAAATATGTGAAAACTGTTGTTTCTTATTTGTGTTTGTAACTTAGGCTATGTATACTGTATTGTTTATTATATTTGTAAACATAATATTATAATGATATTATATTATGCTCCTTGTGAGCCCATTTGATGGAAATAAAGCATCTTCTTCTTCGTCTATAAATATCTGATAACAAAAAATATACACCTATTTCTTGTTTTTTTATCAAAGATTATCAAAGATACAAGAACAGTTTAAGTTAAGGATTTCTTTTTTTTCACTATACTTACATCTAATATATATATAGGACACCGATTGTATATTATGCTTACTAAGAACGGTTGGTTCCGGTGAGGACGTACGCCTTCTTTTTATCGTTAAAAAATCATTTTTGTTATAAAATCGTAACAAAAAAAATTCGCCCTTTTACGCTTGGTGCTACTTTCACCATCATGGACCCTCCTCTCTTTTTCCTCGAACCCCGGAATCGCACCTACTTACATTGAAGTTGGGTCCGATTTTATTTTTCATTACCCCTACTAACCATAATGTATTGTATCATTTATAAATTGTCGTACCAGATGGGACAGATAATCCATCAATTAACAACATCTGTACGCATGTAATTTTTTTGTAGATTACTTTATCAATATGATCAATTGTTAAATTGTGTAATTAGTATATAAAAAAATGGAAATGATTAGTAGAAGGTTAAAAAAAGTGTTCATTCAAAATGAAGCTCAACATTTTGCACCAAATCTTAAATCCTATTTTTTTTTTATTTCGTTCATGAAGTTTCAGCTTCACAAAGGTTTTAAAATAAAAATGTTCTTGACATTTTTTGACAAATCTTTAACAGTATCATTTAGAGTATCGAATTTATATCTGATATTGACAAATCCCTGTTGTTAGCCTGTTTAAAGTTTGGTATACCATAAAGTTGTCTTGTTGTGCAGTGGCCAGAGAGATGAACATTGGACTTATGTATACGTGGAATTTTCAATGCATGAATTAACACAAATCAAATTATATTAAACTGGTAAAAATGTATACATTTTTGGGGAGGATAAATCTGCCGCTCCATGTTGAAAGAGTTTGCCCTCTGCACTTTACAAAATTCTAACAAGAAGTTTTAAGGGGTCTGATGCTGAACTGTTGCAAAACACAGTTTCTTTCCTGATCCAAAGTACCCAACTTTTCCTTTAGCATTCGACCAAAGAGGGAGGGAGGGCTTATTTCCTCTGAATTTATTTCACTCATTATGGTCAAAATTCAAGATTTAGTAAAACGTTGTAAAATTTAGATATCCAAGAGCCTTAATCGAAAGACACCTCAACAAATTTAACTAATTTGTATCTGAAAGGCGATACATAGCTTTATTTCTCATAGAATTTGAGGTTTGGTGAAGAATATCTTTTTAATTCATTTTTTTTTCATAAATACATGTACTCAAAATCTGCTTATTGTCCTCTTGTGCAGCTCTGTGTGTCTTGATTCGAAGTTTAATAACAAAATATTGTCTATTATCTACATATATGTTAAGGTCAATGTGCAAATTAATTATATGCTTTCAGAGAAAAAAATCTGCCATTATATAATGCTTTGAAATTTGATTTATTCAAAAATAGAGCTTGCATATTCTTCTTATTCTTCCAGTAAGCGGCCACCGTCAACTGGTTGACTATCCTGCCACATTTTTTGGAGTGCGCGCATGAAAACAATTTTAAATTTAATAACAAAAACAAAAACTGGGTGAAATTTATATATAGGTGCAAATTATTTGAATTAATCCTTCTTTCCGCACTATAGATAAAACTCAGAAGAATGGAATAAGGTCTAACCAAAGTTCTGTTAGTAACAATAGACTATAATCGGAATAAGGTCTAACCAAAGTCATGTTAGTGACAATAGACTATGGTCGGAATAATGTCTAACCAAAGTCATGTTGGTGACAACAGAATATGGTCGGAATAAGGTCTAACCAAAGTACTGTTTGTGACAATAGACTATGATCGGAATAAGGTCTAACCAAAGTACTGTTTGTGACAATAGACTATGATCGGAATATGGTCTAACCAAAGTCATGTTAGTGACAATAGACTATGATCGGAATAAGGTCTAACCAAAGTCCTGTTAGTGACAATAGACTATGGTCGGAATAAGGACTAACCAAAGTCATGATGGTGACAATAGACTATGATCGGAATAAGGTCTAACCAAAGTCACGTTTGTGACAATAGACTTTGATCAGAGAAATTACCAGATATACGTACTGAACTTTATTTATTTCTGGACAAACTGAACAGGACCAAAAAACATAGTAACTAAAATGTCTAATGTTTACACATCATCATCCATTATGCTACAAAGTGAGAAACGAAGAGGACAAAGAAATTAGACATAAGCCGTCGCTTCTTTATAACCCGGGTGCCTTTCTCACACGGTCTTCCACAAACAGGTATAAGCTTATATAATATTAAATTGTTAGATTAACTGTTTAGAACTGGGATCCCACAGTTCATAAAATAAAACACTGCATAATTTAAACTACGAATGATGTTTTGGAGTATTGCTTACTAGCTGGAGTGTTACTTAAGATAAAAAGTGAATCTGGAAAAATATTGTGCATTTGCAATCTGTGATAGAGTTAATAATGAAAGACACGTTATTTATTCATAACTAATCGATAGAAATTACTGTACAGATGTATAGGTCTAATGTGGGAGATGTATAGGTCTAATGTGGGATGGTGCCAGTCAGATTGGAAACTGGTCGTTATTAAATACGATCGGAATAGATTTCTCGACATCTTCCTAATAGTAGTAATACTATAATACATCTATTCTACTTTAAACTGTTTATACAAAGGTTCACATATTTTTGGTAGAATTATTCTTATTTTGACCTTTTGTGTTTTATATCTTTCTATCGGAACTGAGACATATAATTCAATAATATTGTATCATATGTCTAATATTGTATTAAATGTCACTGGACGGAGCAAGTTAACTCATCTTGAATTAAATGCGAGGTGTGGTTATACATATATATTTTCTGATATACATATGCTGTTTGTTTCCTCATTAGTTCTATCATTGGCATAAAAAAGATTTACTATTTTGTACAAGTGTGTGTGTCACCTTTAAAGAATAGAAGCGTGTTTAAATATATAATATTTTGTTGATATACTTATGCTATTATTTCATTATTAGTTATGAGATCTCATGAATATAAAAATAAAAAGATTTTCAATTTTGTATTGTGACAGATATTTGACATAAATTTTGGATATAGATGACGTTACAATTATTCCTTCGATTTTATGTTTATCACGTTTTATATTATTGTAATAGAATAATGCAGTTTATTTTATTTCATATAGTTTATTAGTTAATGTATGTAAGTTCTACTCTGTAAACTATTTTATATAAAATTATTGTATCAAAAGAATGAACCACCATTTATGGTAATAAGAAGTTGGTTGATATTTGCGTAATGTAACATGGTCTGCTTACTGTTCTTTTCCCTCAGACTCTCAACAGACGAACTACATCTGTGAGAGCTGGTTCTGATTTTTTACATGTTCGGGGGAAACTAGCTTAGAACAATGCCTTTGATGGTGTATGGCATTGCTGCCGATGTAAAGGCAGGCCGGGCGTTGTCTACGCAAGGTTATTTGTTTCATTCTGTTAATGTTAATTGACGTAACTCTGTGATATGTAGACTATATATTAGTTAATGTAGACTATATATTGGGTAATGTAATTTACAAGATCCTGTTACAAGTTGAATAATTAATGAATATGATAGGTTAATTTTATCCACGTTAAAGTAGATATAATCCGAGCGGTAATTGCAGAACTGTCCACGAGTTCTCACCGTATCTAACATATGTCTCAGACTTTTACATTATTCTGTGTGACAATAGTTTTTTTTAAATCCATAACAATTAATTAATATATGCCTTTCGCTGGAATTCTTAAATCTTTTAAATCAGACCAAATTAAGTGCCTAAATCGATGTAATATATATTTATAGTACTTACACGTTACAGTTCGTTTGGATTCAGATTATACCATATTTTAACACGTTTCACTTACAAGTACAAGTTGCACGAAATAATAAAAAGTAAAATTAATTCCTCTCTAATCAGGTGTCACCGACAAATCAATTGTTCAACAAAATAACATTGCATTTATTTCATTCGATCAAGGACGTATATTATGTTAGTTAGTTATAAAGCCTTGATTCAATCAACACGAAAAAAATGTATATTAGTAATAACAGACGCAACATTTTAACCTAAAATGTAATTTAAGTGTGTACAATAATGGTGTCATTCCATCAAATTAGGCACATAGATTTACCAACCTGCCACTTAAAAATGGCTACACAGCAATACACGAGACTAAAAAATCGTTCTTTAACTTAACCCTCAAACAGGATGTAATATTTGTTTTATTTTGTGTATATCTTAATCTCCTTATTTTTTAAAAGTACATTTGCATAGAATCAGAGACATATAGATAGAATGTGTAATACCTGTATTGACACGAACGTGAATTCCAGCGTGAATTAGCTAAGTAATAAATACATAAACCTGTTTAAATACAACAGTAAACATTGCAGCTATTGATTTCTATTTAGAAAAAAAACCCATTGCCCACTATTCAGGGGTTTTCATTTCTTCTAAATCGCAAAATTCATTTCCCTTTTTCTTATTTACGAAATCGCATCCAATTTGAGAAAAAAAGAACATCAAGTAACCTTGTCAATTTCACTTACCTGCTTATTTCACATGGAATTTATAAGTTCCATGTTTTGTTCCGGGTGGATAATGGCGGTTGAAGTTGTACAAACGACATTGTAGATGTTTTAAATCGCACAAATATTCAGTCATCCATGACAGTGTTTATAAATTTTAAAATTCCTTCTGCTGGGTATTATACATTAAACAGTTATTTTGATACAGGTAAATTTCTGAACAGGTAAAGCTAAATATAAACTAGATCATGTGACAGCCATACATTAATACCATACCATTATATAAAATCCATCAATAAAACATTATTTCATATTTAAATACAAACTTATTGTCCTATTCAAACATGCTCAGTGATACACTTATTCGTCACATTCAAGAGATTAGCCGGATCGATCGCTCGTCGCGATAGACTTTATAGCTTAGATTTTTACTATACATGCGAGAAACAATTTTCTTCTGATTAATTATTAATCCAACAGTAATCAGGACACAGCATGGTATTAAAAAATTAGCGAAACAATCATGTCAACATGCAATGTAAACAAATGTATTACATCAGTTAACTGCAAATCATTTTCTCTGTTTGTAAGATACGATTCAGTCTGGACCCTGGGATTTAAAATTGTTCCTACAGGGGAATGAATTGACTACGTAGAAATAGACTTTCCTTTGATATAACTGTTCATTTATTAAACTACAGCCTCTTTGACCCACCGGCTTGTTTGTTAATTAGTAGTTATGTCAAGATTAAAAACGATTAGGTGTAGATATATAATGTGAGTGATTTTCCCGTCTCACTTGTACATGCTCTTCTTTGTTCTTTACCTTGTTAATACTGGATGACGTCTGAAAACCAAGAAAATAACATACGTTAATTCGAAATGTCCGTTTGTTAAAATCATACAAGGACCGAGAAATCACCTAAATCATCATGAAAAAAATTAACATTTAATTGTTATATATTTGAAACAAAATATGGAATTTACTTTGAATAAATCAAATATAAACAGCAATAGATGAAGATATTTCAGTTTTGAAGGCCGTACGGTGACCTATAGTTGTTAATTTCTGTGTCATTTGGTCTCTTGTGGAGAGTTGTCTCATTGGCATATATACCACATCTTCTTATTTTTATCATGATGTAGACTGTGAAACTCTACACAAAAAATTACGACAAAAGAGACGATTTTTCGTTCCATATTGTTACGGTTCCTTTTTTTTGGACGGAGATGTTCCTTTGACACCATCTTACGGTGTTTATATATGCAAACGCTATGCCCGTGTCTGTAGTGACATTTTGGATTCCAATGCACGTTATCTATGTATAACTGGTAGTTTTTTCGTTACCACAAATTACTTAAGACCTTTTGTATGATATTGTTTTTAACTGTATAGATATGATTCCGTTTTCAATAAATTTAAACCCAACTAAATATTATTGTTATACACATATGTTCATTTACGGTCCTACAATCTGCCGATAACTATGTTTTGGCATTCCACAAGGTAATGTTTTCTCTGACTGTTAATGACGTCTTAATTCATCGGATTTTGGATGCGTACTGATTGATATTATAGTCCTATAGATATACTGATTTTTTATTAGTTATTATTGGCTTTGAACAAGCTTTCAGTAACTGCAAGTTACTCTCTAATCTGTATTTTGTGTCTATTATGAGTTTTGTATTGACCTGACGAGTTAAGCCGTGTTCAGCTGATCTTTATAGTGTATTCTTATGTTGTACTTTCACACCACTGTCCCAGTTTAGGAAGAGGGTTTGGCGCCAGCAAACTTGTTTAACCCCACCACATTCTGTATGTGCCTGTCCCAAGTCAGGAGCATGTTATTCAGTGGTTGTCATTTGTTGCTGTATGTCATGTTTGCTTCTCGTTTGTCGTTTTGTTCATAAATCAGTCCGTTAGTTTTCTCGTTTGATCATGGATTGTTTTACATTTGTCATTTAGGGGCCTTTTATAGCTGACTATGCGGTATGGATTTTGCTTATTGTTGAATGTTGTAAGGGTACTTGCCAAACGCGTTTCTTTCTGTTTGCATTCAAAAGATGAGAACTTTCAAACATTAATTCCGGTTTAAGACTAAAGGTGCTAATTTAAAAATCAGAAGATGTGGTATGATTGCCAATGAGACCATCTTTCAACCAGAGACCAAATAGCATAGAAGTTAAAAAAACTATAGGTGACCGTATGACTGCTTTGCTTTGGTTAATTATAAATATGTTGTCGTATTCAAGTTGGTTATGTCTGTATTGTATATTTGTGATAGTCTGGATGGGGAGGGGAATCTCCTGTATTCTTTAATTGTTATGACATTTTCACTATCCTTTTGCAAATGAAAACACGAATATGTGGTATGATTAACAATGAGGCAACTATATATATCCACCAGAGACGACATGACGAAGATATGGTCAACTATAAGCCTTCAACGATGAGAAAAACCCATACTGTATGACAAAGAGAATACTAGCGACATGCGTTAGGCTAAAAACAATAAACGAAAAACATATATGACAGATAGCATTCAAAGACAACCACTGAATTGCAGGCTCCTGACTTGGGACAGGAACATAAATAACGCGGCTAGAATAAACTTGAGACAGAAGCATAAAGAACGCGGCTAGGATTAACTTGAGACAGAAGCATAAAGAACGCGGCTAGGATTAACTTGAGACAGAAGCATAAAGAACGCGGCTAGGATTAACTTGAGACAAGAACATAAAGAACGCGACTAGGCCTTTGGGACATAAAGAACGCTGATAGGGTTATACCCCCCTTTTCCCCCTTTTTCCGTTTATTATTTTATATTTCATTACACCATTAGTCTCTATTCTTTATATTTTTTGGCTATTCAGTCTTCTCTTTTCCTCATCCATACTCTTATTTATTCTCATCGAAAACTTATTTATGCAATTGTAAGGCCAAGATCTGAAACGTGGATCCATGCATTCTGTGCAATATTTCGTTATATTCGTACAGCATTACTAAACAGAAAAATAACTTTATTCTGCAATCAGGCACATACAAATAAAAAGTAAACAAATAAAAAGTATACAAATAAAAAGTATACAAATAAAATTTACTTTATGTATATAATGAACAAATATAGATATCGTCTCTTTGAATTCTGCTATTATTTTGAGCGGACGGTAATAATTTTAGTCCTTAGCAACCGTGTTTATCAATCTGTCTATTTCTTTAAAAAACAGATAACGATTGGGAAAAAAATTGTAAGTTAAAGCGTTTTTTTGGTTTAGATTGGAGGGTAAAACAATATACAATGAACTCATGCACATTGATGGAAAATATATAGTTTATTTGTACTCGCTTAAAAAACGGAGAAACAATTTCGAGTTTCCTGTTTCTAAAGCTCGTACAAATAAATTTTACATTTTCCAACAATGAACGAATATTGTTTTTGTCTGTTAATGCTGTTTTTTCCCTATTATATAATAATATATATAGAAGATACCGAGTTCCAACATTGCATGATACCTAGGCATCGATTACTGTACTTGCAGCGCTCATCTTAAAAGTACAAAATGAATGTCGGTTTTGCTTTCGGTTATATCAGTATTCATTATATCGTCCGTCGTCATTATCTTTTGTTATCATATTCTATATCAAAGCTATTATGGTATGTTCATTCTCTGTATGCTAAAACTAATGGACATAAATGTAACTGGTGAAATTTGTATCGATAAGAAGTGATAAAAAGTCTTGGGTATAACAAGTATCATATTGAACACTTATTGCCATGATGATTTGGCTAATCAGACCCCAGTCACCATGGTATACCTTACTGGTTGACAATTGAGTACCAAGAGCGTTATTTTATGGAAAAAAGCACCTTAGTTTTGTTAAGTATTCAACCGCAAACAAAGTCTGTCTGTCAAACGCTTCTGCGTTTAAACAGTTCATTGTAAATCAATTAATCAATCAATCGGGATTTAGAAACAAATTCTCATTTCCACAGGTTTATTTTGTCCAAAATACACTCATTGAAGGTGTGATATTTAAGCTTCCCTAGTTTCAGACATTCCTGTCCAATTTAACACCAGTGTCTTTATTTTGGCTCAACAGTGCTCTTGGACGAGCAAAATAGCGATCTTCTAGTAAGTCTAATACAGAAATACATTATCAAAAGCAGACATTTTAATCCTTAATTCAAATAATCTATCATTAAAAACCGTAATCATTTTTACACTGTACACAAAACACCAATTTCCAAATTTATTCAGTATTTTTATATCACATTTTCAAATGTCTATACTTATTGAAGGGCATGCCACGCACTACCTAAAAACCTTACTTTTATTCTAGTCCCAGATTTGTATAAGCAACCTCGCTCGTTCCTGATTCGTATATATTACACGTTTATGTGTTATATTATTATGTGATAATTCATTTAAAATAAATATATATGGTCATGCGACAAAAGTTAACTTAAAATGCAGTTGAAAAACAACGTGAAAAAGGCATTTTTTAATGGCTCCTACGTGAAAAATTTAATATATTTTCTATATTTTGTAAAATTTTATTTTGAATTTTTCGAAATTTTTAAACTTAAATGGATAAACTTTCGATTAAAAGCAATTCCAATCCTATATCACCCAATTATAGAAGTCGCATAAGATTCTATTCTGAGTACCGGGGTAAAAAAGCTTGCCGGTAAAATGTAAACAAATAATTGCGCTCTAGTAACCTTAACATTAACACATTGGTAATTTTTCCCCATTACACCCGATAAACGAATTCAATTAAGCAAATGAATCTTCGTTTCAAGTTTTAAAACAAAATACTTCAGCGAATTGATTACAACTGATTCAAAGATTTCCTAAACAATTACTTACATATTTCAATTTACGCAATTCTTTCTCATCATAAAATATATAATGATTAACGAGATAGTTTGACTTTGGTTCCAAAGAAACCATATATTTTCTTCTAAAATTGAACTTAAACAGCGTTTTACCATTTCCTTATGATTGAAATTAGTGAAAGCACCATACAACTTATCAGTCCCATCAAGTAAAAGCTTTTCAAACTTCAAGATAATATATTTAAAAGTGACATTTATACGTCACTAGGATTTTCTCTCATATAAGATAATCGTTTTTATTTAAGAAAAAAAAAAGAATTTAAAAAAAGAGAGTAGCTATAGTAGAGATGACGCCCTGCCATGAGAATTTCTGTAGATCGTTGTAGTTATAGTAGAGATGACATGAGAATTTCTGTAGATCGTTATCTTGTTTTAGAAAGAATAATGTTTCTTCTACTTTATCGTTATTTTATGAATATTTATGCTCAATTTTGAATACTTAAATATGTCTCACTTGCTGGTCTTTTACTCTCTGTCTTTAATTAAAAAAATGTATCATACTTATAGTTAATGTCCTCATACCAGAATGTGTGTGTAAATAAATATAGATGTAACCGGTGAATTGAAATTATATGGCTGCAAACAATTTTTGATGACCATCGAAGCAGTTAAAACAACCCAACTATGCTATACTGATTATTTTTACCTTTCTTTGTGTAATTTCGACTTGATATCCACCACTTTATGTTCTATATACACTTTTTCTAAACATCAAATGATATATTATACTAGAGTGTTTTATATCCCATGAGATAGCAATCTCGATATCCCTCGAGTCGTTAGGCGAAGAGAATGTATGGCACTGACTGGGATTCCGGAATATGAATTCATCCAGATCCAGAATAACATTTATATTATACCGGAGAGTCCTAATTTGAACATATGTGTAAATTAATAACCATTCTGGTGTTCG